GAAGGCAAAGAACATAAATGCCTTTGTGTGATAGCCTAGGGAAAGTGGGGGATAAGAGGAGGTGGGCAAAGGAGGGGAGAATGTAGACAGAAAGAGGCTGCTTTGGGTGACGGGCACATGATTCAGTGTACAGATGATGTTTTGTTGAGTTGTATACGTGAAACATATATAATTTTGTGAACCAAGGTCACCCCAATAAATTCAATTTTAAAAAGAACGGTGTTTAAAATACTTTCATCTACATTACCTCCTTTGATTGTCCTAACAACTGTGAAAGTTAGGTAGTGTAGTTTTATAGTTAAATTCTATTTCTAAGACATTAGCATTTTAATGTAAATGTCAGTTTTTAAGATAGTGAAGCAAAAGATATAGAATTTGCTTGTATTCTTTATGCAAGCTTTATTGGGTTTTACTCATTAGTAAAGGGGAATGGAGGCACACTGGCATGTCATATCTTCAGCTATTATTCAAGCCGAATTGAATTATGATTAATAAAATTATTAACGTAAGTTACAGATTTTTTACTTTTCTAGAAAACTGCTTTTACTGAATAACCTTGATCTCAACTCATCCTATAAAAATGGAATTTTACTAAACCAACTACTTCCTATGTCACATTTTGGGCATAATAGCTGCAAATGTCTACAATTTAAGGAAGCACTGTAATTTAGAATAATTCTAGGCCAGAAGTGATATTTGTAGAGGATCTAGAGGCATGAAAATCACATAAGCCAAAGGAGCCATTTAATCGTGGTTTGGATGTTATTTTTCTGACACTTATCAGTAAAACTGTCATGGATCCCTGGAATTGGGGCTATTAGAATTATTTATTTTGATGTCACCCTTTTTCACATAATTGTGTTTGATATTTTAACAGAAATTATTTATGTTCACATGCATGTGGGTATTGATTATCTATACCTGCACATCACATTATTACTTGTCCATGAATTACTTCTGATCCTTTTTACAACCTGATTTGCATACTCATATTATCATGTAGATATTTGCAAATTCTTGTGTGGATATATATATATATATATATATATATATATATATATATATAAATTTTTTTCCCCTGCTCTCTTTCTTACTTGACTGAGAATATCAAGGATGTCCCCAAATGCTCATTTGAAGGTTGATTTAGTCACACTAGCAGAACCCCAGGCTCAAATGTCAGATTGGATCAGTTCTGCCCGGTGCACTAATCGCGATGCTGTCTTCCTGCTGCAGAAGTTACAGCGGCATGTTACTCATCACGGCAGAATGTAAATGTTTAGCGATTATACAATATGTTTTTGTTAACTCCCCAGATGGGATTTTTTTTTTTACCTTTGTTTGTTTATTTGAGAACAAGAGCTGAATGCTGAAATGCAGTGGCTGATGCCAGCAATCCAAGGCTTCATTAGCACAGATGAAGCGAAGCTCATTTGTTACACAAATAATTAGAGAGATTAAATGAAAATAAACACTTAGAGGATGTACAGAAGCTCTGAAGTTAGGTAATCATTTTAATTACTCTAGTGACTTCTACCAACCTTCATTACCAGCCACAGATCAAGTTCAAATTGTTGTATGTAAGAATATCATAAGCCACAGGGGAGAGTTCAAGAGCTGCCCAATGATTATACTTCACAAAAATGACATTTCTTCAACCTTCCATTTAAAGGAGTTGTTTCCATTCCTGTACCTGATAAACTCTCTAAATGTTTAAAGAGTGATAAAATTTTGCACTCAAAAGGGGTTTACCCTCATTTTATGCTTCAAATGGACATTCTTAATAAATTTTGTATTTCTCTATCTTTACTGAGATTTGATCAGAAAAGATGTGGGCCCACATTTTTTGAGACACTGACTGTAAAACATTATGGCATATTCAGTAGTTTGAAGTAAGTGCTACTCAGAATCATGTCATCCTTATTTCATGACAGTCTGCACCCTGTCTTTGGGGTAAATTGATTTCCTCTTTCTTCCCTTCCCTACTCCAACCTGGAAAACACACATAATGTCTTGCTGACAGGTGGGGGCTCTATTTCAACGTATTTAATTTTACATTCCTGGGTGGTGATGATCCTGCAAGATCTCCTGAGTTGCAACCTTCAGAGGATGTGCTACCTGTATTCAAATGCCATTTATTGCCTACCTTCACAATGCCAACTCCTCTGCAAAATGCTTTACCTCACTTACCCTACTTAGTCCTTACAAGATGCCCATGAAGTATGTATTATTGACTCCATACTACAGGTGAGAAACTAAGGCTTTGAGAGGCTCATTGACTTTCCAAAGTTGCCTAAAGCAGCCCAGCGGGAAACTAAATCCAGGTCTGCCTGACTGCAAAACCGTGATGCCCCTAGAGATGGTGGGATGAGGAAAACTTGGATGCAAATGCTGACGAAGGACAGTAGAAAAGATGAACTGACCTCGGGGATGAAATGTGCTAGTTATGTGCTGTGTTGCATGACATCTGTGAATTCTGGATACCAAATGAAACCTCAAATTCCAAAATGTGTCTCATCTCTGAATAGCCCTGGATGCTTCTTTACCACAAAGAGGAAGCAATTAGAAAATAGGTTTTAGTGTAGTGGGAATAAGCAAGAGTTCCATACTAATAAGATTAGTGACGCTTTTTAATGTAATTCAGTAACCACTTGAGTTTACTCCAGCTAATGCACTCGGCATTTCTTTTCAACTGCATTAACATTTCTGACAGAATGAATGAGACTTGGGCATTCTTTATAGGGTCGGTGGGGGGTATATGCTGCTTTCTAGTATTTAAGGAAAGCCTTGCTCTGGCCAGTTTGGCTCAGTGCTCAGAACATTGGCCCATGCACAGTGGGGTCGTGGGTTTGATTTCTGGTCAAGGATATCTACCTGAACGCAGATCCAATTCCCAGCCCCATTGGGGCACGAGGCAACCAATTAATGTTTCCCTCTATCTCCCCCTCCTCCCTCCCTCCCTCCCTCTCTAAAAATTAATGGAAAAAATACCCTCAGGTGTGGATTAACAAAAAAAGAAAGCCTTTACTAAATTGTCTTCCCTTCCTCCTTTCCCAAGATGCCGACATTGATTTCTGCAGGCGCACCACGGGCCTGGGGTTGTGTTTTGCACACTCACAACTGTAAACCCAGTTCGCCTCACCTGGGTTCCCAGGCCCATTTGGCTAGCCCAGAATAGGTGAGGAGATGAGGATGCACTAATCTGCGCGTTTAAAACATGAGCTGTGGGTGACACAGGGAGGTGGGGACAAAAGGCATGCCCTTGTGGGGTGAGGGGACAGGGTGGTTGTTCAACCTGTACTTTTCACTCTCAGGTTTCAGACTCGGGCGGGGGGGGGGAGCCAGGGAAATTCACTGAAGCGCCAAGGCCTGATGACAGGCAGGAGCAGCGAGGGTAGGCCCAGGACACGTGGAGGGGCATCTGCTCTCACTCAGAACGAGCAACCTGGGGAATTTATTGATGAGCAAGACAGAAGGCAGACAACAGTGGGAAGATGGGCTCAGAAAGTATCACAGAGGGAGAGTGGCTTTCTCGCAGCTTTGCAAGCCTTTCCCTGGAATGTGACTCGGAAGTGTGGTTCCTCTTCTTTCTTGTCGGTGCATGACAGACCGCCAGGGATCCGTTAGTGGAACCACAAAATAGGGAAAGTCCACAGGAAACGTCAATTGTTCACTGTCGCAGGTCTACACGTCACCGCTGGGTTTTGGTTGCAGTGTTTACAGGCAGGAGGGCCCGCCCCTCTGTGTCCGCTGTGTGGGGTGTGATCTCTGTAGGCCGAGCAAGGGGTAGCCACCAGCCAGACCCCAGGACACACGTTCCGTTTTCACTGGGCTACTGGCCACCGGCCTCAGAGAAATCTCTTTAAACAGTGGGCCTCAGCTTCCTCCCACTCCACCCCCCCCAAAAAAAAATTTTTTTTTAAATAAGTGGAGGTGATTCTACTTCCCAGGCCTCCTTGAAAGGATCGTTGGGAGATCCAAATTGGAATAAACCCGATGGCAACGAACTGCAAGTAACTGTGACTCCAAATTACAGAAGAACACAAGTGAAACGCATTCAGGTGGAGTTTCAGGAATTTCCCTCCTGTGATCTAACCGCAGTCAGGCAGCAGCCGGGGGGGATTGATTCCTTCTCAGCCGCTATCTCTCAGCCAAACACCTGTGAGCCCTCCCCACCAACCCCCTGCCCACCCCCAAACTCGGTCTCCCGGGGCTTCCATCGATTTTTGCCTTCCAGTGAAAGCGCTTTTTGTTGCCGTGGCTCGCACCCCCTTGCCCCCAGCCCCGCAGCCGGGAGCCAGAGAAGAATCCCTTGCCCTCTCCCGCCTCTCCTCCTCCCACCCCACACCTCAGCTCTCCCGAGTTTCCTGCACGTGGAGGGGCTCCTGGCTGGTCTCCAAAGACCTTGCAGTGTTTCGGAAAGCTGGGCGCGCGCGGAGACGGGCGCAGGAGCATCTGCCCCCCTCCCCTCTCCCAGAGGCCGTGCGCCCCTCGGGGACCCCCTCCCGCGCCTCCCCGGGCGGTGAGGTGCCGCCCCCGGAGCCAGCTCTCCGGTCGGGCCGGAGCCCCCTCCCCGCCGCCCTCCCGCAGCCCCGTCCGCCAGCAGCAGCGCCGCTGCCTGCTTCCCACCGGAGGGCTGGGAGGGCGCCGAGCGAGTCCGCAGCGCCCCCGCCCCTCGCTGTTTCTCTCTTTCTTCCCTCCGTTTGGGATCTCGCTGCCGGAGCCAGAGAGGTTCTGGGAAGAGCAGAGGAGCGCCAGGGACGGGAGTCAGGCTCCCGCTGCAGCCAGCGCGCCCGGAGCTGGGGACCCGCACCTCCCGCGCCCCCGCCCGGTCCCCGCCGCCCGGCTCGGAGGTGAAGACCCGGAGCCCCTCGAAGGAGCCCACGGCGGGAGCCCCTTTGCCCGCGGCGCCGCGGGATCGGAGCGGCCACCCGGCCGCCGGTGCCTCGGGGAGAGCGCGGTGGGCATCGCTCGGCACCACTCCGGGCTGGCAGCGCGGCCGCGCCGAGTCCGCTTCCCGCCGGCTCCCCGCGTGCGGGCAGCACCTGCGCGCCCTGCGCTCCTCGGAGCCCTGCCTCCGCGGCACCTGCGCCGACCCCCACGCCAGGTGGTGACAGCCCGGCTCCCGGCTCCCGGCCCCCGCAGCGCCCGGACCCGATGGGGAGCGCGCGGGCCGCGGCTTCCTGAGCGCGGGCTCCGCCGCCGCCGCCGCCGCCGCCGTCCAAACCGCGCGCCGGGGCCCCGGGCGGGCGCCCTCGTAGGGGCACCCGAGACGCCGGGGAAGCTCGCAGCACCATGAAGTCCGTGCTGTTCAGCCGATTCTTCCTCCTCCTGCCCTGGATCCTCATCGTCATCCTCATGCTCGACGTGGACACCCGCAGGCCGGCGCCCCCGCTCACCCCGCGGCCCTACTTTTCCCCCTACGCCGTGGGCCGCGGGGCCGCCCGACCCCCGCTCCGCAGGGGCGGCCCCGGGCGCGGCGCGGAGAGGCGCAACGAGTCTCGGCCGCAGCCGCCGCCGGAGCCGCCGCTGCCCACCATCTATGCCATCACGCCCACCTACAGCCGCCCGGTGCAGAAGGCCGAGCTCACCCGCCTGGCCAACACGCTCCGCCAGGTGGCGCGGCTGCACTGGATCCTGGTGGAGGACGCGGCGGCGCGCAGCGAGCTGGTGAGCCGCTTCGTGGCGCGGGCCGGCCTGCCCTGCACGCACCTGCACGCGCCCACGCCGCGGCGCTACAAGCGGCCGGGCCTGCCGCGCGCCACCGAGCAGCGCAACGCCGGCCTGGCCTGGCTGCGCCAGCGGCACCGGCACCAGCGCGCGCAGCCCGGCGTGCTCTTCTTCGCCGACGACGACAACACCTACAGCCTGGAGCTCTTCCAGGAGGTAGCGGCCGGCCCGCCCCTGGGGGAGGGGGGGGAAGGAGGGGGACTAGGGCGGGAGGGGGCGTCGGGGGGTCGCCTGCCCCTGGGAGCTGTCACTTCTCGGTGCACTTTTGGGACTTCGGGGGGAGCGCTGCTCGCGGGCAGCCCACGGCCTCTGCCTGTCCTGGCGTGTTTCGCAGGTCAAGGGGGTGGGGTTAGGGGGCAGGGGGGTGAGGACCACCGGGATTCCAGGAGGGGAGTCTGGTTTAGCTGTCTGCCTGGCCCCGAGTTTGGGTTGAGGGAGTAGCGCAGTTGTGGGACGCGGGGATGATCTCCAGGAACAGGCCCAGGTGGCCCCAGGTGGAGAGGGAGGACGGAGCCCAGGTGGAGAGGGAGGATGGAGCCCAGGTGGAGAGGGAGGACGGAGCCCGGTGGAGAGATGGGTGGGGAGACTGGATGCCACAGGAGGGGGGTCGGGAGAGGGCCCTGCGCAGTGCTGGGCGGCTTGGTGTACTCCAAGGGCCTTTCCGCGCGCACAGGTGTGACTGGGATTCTAGAACCATACGGAGAGGAAGGTGGTGTTGTTTAAAAATCAGCCAAGAGCCAGATTTCTCTGGCACAGTCCGGGGCACGGAAATGGTTATTAGTGAAAACATTGCCTGCTAAGGGAGTCCTCCCTCCATGTCTTCCCCCCACCCCACCCCACCAAGGCCCTTTCCAACTCAGCACTCTGCCTCTTTTTTTTTTTTCGCCCCCCAAGGAAACTCTCTGGCAAATGACTTGAGACTGTTGTGCCTTGTGGAAAAGGCTGTTCTGTCTTCGCAGCCAGAGCTACCAGCTGCACTTCCAGTCCCCCCCCCCTCTCTCTCTCTCTCTCTCTCTCTCTCTCTCTCTCTCTCTCTCTCTCTCCCTCCCCCCCCCCCCCTCTGTCTCACAGTGCCATTGCATCCTGGGGCTTGCTGGAGGTTGTCAGTGCATCCCTTGAAAGGCCACACGTGCGCCCAACCCGCAGCGTGCGCTGGGCTAGAGCAGGTGTTACTTCTTGAGGCCGGTATTTTGCAGCGTGTGTGTGTTCTGCAATAAGACTGCGTTCCAAGGTTTTGTCAGTTCCTTCTTCACCAACAAACACAGCTGGAAAGTGTCTTGGATGCTTGGACATCCTGTGGGACCACTGCCTTCCTCTACCCCACATTCCTTGACAGCCTGCCTCTCAGACTCCATCGCCCCCTCCGCACCCAGGCACACTGGCTGTGTGTCTGGTAAATCAGACACGCCCCACACTTCCATTCTAGTATCTGTGTAGTGCTCTTAGCCTCCGGCCAAAGCTACTTGCCAACCTTCAGGTTAATTTTTCTGCCTATGTGATTTGAAAAAATCCATTTCTTAAGAGCAATTGGCACCTTCATTTCTATTCATCCTCTCCCTCTTCGTGAATAAAAGGACCGGTAATTGCTTTCTGTCTTTTCTTCTCCATCCTTTCAGGAGGTAGAGCTTTCTGTCCATGTTTCTATGGAAGAAATAAATGTGTGGGACAGTCTTTATAACCAAGACTACAGATATCATCTGATTTTTTAAAATTGGGCTTTTATTTTTCTGCTTGCATACTCCCTCCCACAAAAGACAAGGTGTGTATTCTGAAGCACGGGCCTTTTACATGCCAGTACACCACGACTGTAAACCCACTCTTCTCCTTCCCCTGGGAGTTGCCTTACCTGTGACACTGTGTGGTCTTGTGTGTGCAAAGGAATGCACATCATTGTTAATCACCCCGTTAGGGGGCAGGACTGTGATGGAATGATTTTCCGTTTGTTCCCAGCGCGCGTGTGTGTGCGTGTGCGTGTGTGTGTGTGTGTGTGTGTGTGTGGTGTCAGATGAAGGCGAGAGTGGGCAATGCAGGTGGAGAGACACTCAGGACAGCCTTCCTCTGCTGCTTCCCAAACCAAAAGGAAGGCTTGTTGGCGGTGGCTACTAAGCAGCAAGAGAAGAACACAGGGGGCTTTTTTCCCAAGTGGTCCATGGAGGGGGGGGGGGGGAGAGAAAGAGAGACAACAGAAGGAAGGAGAGGGTGAGAAGAAAAAAAATAGCATTTGGTCAGAGGAAACTATAAAGGAAAAAAGCAAAACTTTCTGAAGTAATGAGAGTAAAATTAAGAGCAGGTGCAGCTCATTTTGTGGAGAGGTGCCAAGTATACAAAAATACACAACAGAAGCAATTAAAAAAAAATGCAATATGCATGACACACAGAATTTTCTTCTATTTTTTAATCTTTATTGTTGAAAGTATTACTATATGTCCCGTTTCCCCCCCTATTAACCCCTTCTAGCCTGCCCCTCCCCCAGCCCCAGGCCTTTCCCACCCTAGACACACATAGAATTTAAATTCCATAGCTCCTAGAGGCCCCTCCAACCCAGGAATTTTATGACTAGTCCCTTTGTCCACCACCATCCCTCCTCCCTCCCACGTGATGCATGTGGACAGAGTAGGCATCTGTTCGCCATGCATCTATGCCAATATGTTCCATTTTTCTTTTTACAACACATTATTGTCCTCACATGGCAAGCAGGATTGACTCTCTAAAAAGTCAGATTGGTGGAATTTGTGCATCCTTAGTTTTGTGAATTAATGGGCTGGCCTACCTTAAAGCAGTTCTAGGATAGATTCCATGTGGATTACAGTGTAGACGTGGCTCTCTTGGGGAAAAAGATAGGACCAGATAAAACAGCTGGACCCTGAAGTGCCCAGCGGGGGAGAGAACATGCTGACCAGGGATGCTGCAGGGCGGAGGTCTGTATCTCAGCGCAGTGCATGTGCACACACGCAAATCAGCTTTTAAGTAATTCACAGTGCTTAAAGGGAGTCAGGCTTCATCTTTTATTCATGGCGCTTCTAATTTCCATGGTTGATGTAAACGCAGATAAGATAGAAGGGAGAAAATGAACCAGGTACAAATTAGCTCACTAAGCATTGGCTGCAAATGAAGGAAAGTAAAAGATGAAAGGTCTCCAAATTAAATTAAAGGCGCAACAGGCAATCCGTGTTCAATTATTTCTCCGTGGTAACTGGCATGGTGCTTGCCTCTCCCATACAGCTAACTCATTTTCAGCCTACCCTTTCAACTGAGCTGTGCTGCCTGGAAAGAAATATTTGCATTGAAGGAATCCCACGTTAACAGCCAAATCCATTTGCAAAGGAAAGCTAGTGGGAATTGCAGCCACAGAAACTCTGCTGGCCATTGGAGAGAACAGTGGTCAGGGTGTGTGTGTGTGTGTGTGTGTGTGTGTTTCAGGTTCGCAGTATCTCCACGACTGCTCTTCCTGTGGCATTGATGGGGGTTTGAATTCTGGACCACAGGTAGTCCACCTGCCTGTGCCCCCTAAGGATGGAGCTCTCCGGGAAAGCTTATTTGCAAAGGATTTAAACTGCTTTAACAAAAGCAACTACTGCAGATAAATGTGACTCTGTATCCATTCGTATTTTCAATAAGCTATTGATCAGATTTCTGTTCCTTACTGGAAATCCTTCCAAGTTTTTCTGAGTTTAAAGCTGATGCTTTGCAGGTGAAGTTGCTTTCGCCTTTGCAAGTCCTTTGAATTGAAAGGTTAAAAAATAGCACTTTTGCCGAAAACTGTTTTGCTCAGTGGATAGAGCATCAGCCTGCAGACTGAAAGGTCCCAGGTTCGATTCTAGTCAAGGCATGTACCTTGATTGTGGGCACATCCCCAGTGTGGGGTGGGGGGGTGCAGGAGGCAGCTGATCAATGTTTCTCTCTCATCGATATTTTTAACTCTTTATCCCTCTCCCTTCCTTTCTGTAAAAAAAAAAAATCAATAATATATATATATATATATATATATATATATATATATATATGTATTTTTTAAATAGCACTTTCCAAGCAGGAACAAAAACTTCAAAAACTTCAAAATTTTTAACTTTAAAATAATGAGAAAAGACTGGAGGACAGGCCAACTCTGAGACATTTAAGGAGCCCATGAAAGGATCCGGTTAATGAGGCTGCATCTTGAAGATGCTCTGACAGGCAGTGAGCTGAGCAGGCCCTTTGTTGGGTGCTATTATTTGTGTGCTAGGAAGGTGGAGGAGCTGAGGCTTAATTCTGTCTTGCTCCTTTTCTGAAACATTTAAAAGCTCCACATACACACACACACACACACACACACACACACACACACACACACCTTTTACAGGCAGCTTATTAGAGCTATATTATTATACAAAGAATGTTGAAATTCACAATTTTAACCGCCCCACCCTCCACCCCCAATACTAAATTCTGTATGTTTCCTGCAAGGAGACAAAAGATCTGCCATTCTTTTTACCCTGATACTTAGTTTGGGTAATTATCTTTTCAAAGTGAAGAAGCCCAGAAGATTCCATTATTTTATCTGAAATGTGTTCCTTGTGTTTTGTTCCTCCCTATCTAAAAGTATATCAATAGTCATGCCACAGGTCTGGTAAAATGTGAGAATTTGGGGAAAATATGGTCATAAAACTACAGCCAATTTTCTGAGGCTATTGCTGTTAAGTCTATAGATTTTTTTTTTTTCTTTAGTCTCCCTGTGGATAGGACTTGAGTTATGGCTAGTCTTTGACGTGGTTCTTTGGAGACCAGCAGTTTTCATTTGTATTTTGATCATTTAATGGACCAGAAATAATAACTCAGCTTTAAAAGCCATTCTCTCTTGCCTCTTCCAATTGTCTTTTTCCATCATTCACCCCCTTACTTTTCACTGACTATTCTTTCTCGTGAATAGACATGAAGATGTGTCTGGATTATTGTTTGGTACAATGAATTCGTCTTTTAAAACTTTTAGGCTGTTGTCTGGTTCTTTTTGGAAACTATGTGGGTGACTCCATTTTCTTCTGTGTATTCCACTTGCCTCTAAATTACAAGCGGGTAATTTCTCTCTTGTGTGAACAGTAATGGAATAGTAATTGCTTTTAAGGCATGCTACAAAAGCAAAATAGGAGAACCAAAGTGAACAGTCTTATTTATTAACAATT